TTGTTCAGAGAGCTTCATGTAACCCTGACACAGCCTGAAATGCTCTGGGCAGCAAACAAATTGCAGAGCAGTGCTCAACGTGACCAGCTCCCCCAGTGGCTCAGCGTGTTCCCAGAGCCCATCATCCCCAGCAAAAATTATGGGTTTGCTCAACTCAGAGGACGAGGCCCATCTATAAGTATTAGCCAACATGAGCTCAGATTGCCCTAAGCACAGCTTTGATTCCCACATTTCACAAAGGCTCTGCAGGAGCGTGCAGCTGTGGCAGGGCTGCTGGGGAGACGTGCTCAGGCTGATAGAGGGAGAGGAGCAGCCTTGGAAGCTGCCATCTCACGTAACTTCTGGCATTCCTTCTCACACTGTTGTCTCTGGTGACTGGTGGAGGCTGCCAGCTCCTGCAGCAAAGCTTCTAGGAACGGACCTGTTTATCCCCTTTAGGCTGATAAAACTCATCAAGCAAAACAAAAAAGTGAGCTCCTAGCCTGCTCTGCACAGGAGCTCATGTAAGGGGACACTGCTTCATGGCTACTAGCTGGCAGCAGTGGGGGGAAGGGGGCGTGCAGAGTGGCTTTGGGGCAGAACAAGAAAACTGTCAACACCATCTCTGCAGACAGGGCTGCAGCCTGAGTCTGTGACCTTGGCATTACAGTGAGGGAGTGTGTTAGTACCGGCATGCTGCTGAGAGCTGCAGTTAGGCTGATGGCCATGGTTTAGGGAGGTGGCTTTATCCAGTGATAGAAGGGTTTGGGGGTGGGGAGATTCCAGGTTCTACGTGTCATTTGAGCATGGACAGCTAGGAACCCATGTCAACAAAAAAGTGAGATGTACCAAAGTTAATGACAAGCTATGCAATGTGCAAACCTGGCTGTTAGATAAATGGCAGCTTGCTATCCAGAGTCATGCTCAGATCAGCCAGGAAGGCCAGCAGCTTGCTGGCGTGTGCATGTGGACTCATGGAAGGGACCAGCAGGGGCAGGTGGCCACATCCTAGTTCCTGAAGGAGGGCACCAAGCACAGAGCGGGCACCTTGTGCCTGGACAAGCTCTTTGCACCCTTGAAAGTGATGCTGGCACTGAAGCCAAGAGCTTTGGTTGGGCTGACACCAGGCAGCACTACAGCTGTGGCCCAGCAACAGCCAAGTGTTTGGAAATCCTGCGATCTGTTGTGCAACAGCAGCTGCAGCTCTCTGACCACGCCGAGCAGATTGCTGCCCACTGTGCAGGAAGCCTGATGCATACAACCTGCCAGGCCCAGTGTATGCACAGCACCACAGCACATATACATGTATTTCAGGCCAGGAAATTCCAACAGAAGCACAGCAGCTGCTGCTTGTCCAGAAGCTCGCTAGGATTCCTCCCTAGGGCAGACATGCAATGAGCTGTTTGCTTGCAGCAAGCAGTTGCCCAGCCGGCTTACAGTGAGTTGCATAGCTTTTCCTTGCCACAAGCTCACTGCTGGCCCTGACCCTTTCGGGCAGCTTGCAAAGGCACCACAGCATGCCCAGCTGCTGGGTGTAGTGATGCCTGCAGCTTCCTGTTGCTTTGGCAGGAAACCACTGCAGATACCATGGCCTCAATGCCCCAAAAGGTCTTTATATTTAGTAGGGCAGGAGCAGGCTGAAGTGGTAGATGGAGCTAGAGCTGAGATCTGAGCTCTCTAGCAGAGCCCTTGCTCAAAGCACATAAATAAATTCTGGATGCTCCTTTGCAGCAGGGGATCCACTCCTGTGGGGCTGCATGAGGGACATCCTGCTTCACCTTCTGTTCCCCACTATGTTGGCCTCTGGCTTCGGCATTCCCCTTTGCTTGCTCAAGCTGCTCCTTGCTCCGTACCTTGGGTGCCAAAAGTGCCCTGTCGATTTCAGCAAAAAGTGAAAGTTTTTTTAAAATGAAGGGGTGCAGTGCCTATCATTACCATGTTTGCACTTTTCTGACAAGCTGTTTTGCTTTCTCCTCACACCACATCCTGCTGCCCTTCTATATCTGTAATGTGTAAAAAGTCTCTGGACAGGGTGAGATTGAGTTACATAAAAGGAACTGGCTTTTTTGGAAAGTATCCTTTGGTTCATTCCACAGCCAGTCCTGGATAACAGCTTTGTGTTCACTAAGATGCAGTCAGCAAATCTCCAAGGAATGGCTTTAAATAGAGCTGGGCTATTTCAGTCCATATAACTGCATGCAGGGAAGGATTGGGCTGCAGGGACCCGTGTGGGAATGAAGCAGGAAGCGCTGTCACTGTCTTCTGCGTTTCATACTCACAGCAGCAGTTGTATTCTCTATTTCCCTTAAATGAAAGAAAAGGCAAAGATGATTCACATCCCATTCCCCACTTAGCCTTGAAGTACTGTTAGTGTGACTAAGGTCCTCACTGCATCATTTCTTTCTCCATCTAATGCTGAGAAGGGTGGTAGCACGGCAGGCTGTGATTAACTGGAATTTCTCAGTGTTGAAAGGCGTTTGAGAATGGTCCCAGTGATTAATAAAATGACTTGAGGGGACATAGGAAAATCTGATCCTATAAATTGTTTTCTGAATAGCTTGAACATTTCAAAAGTCACATGTGTTAGAGCTTGAGAACTGCATTTGCATAGAGCGCCTCTGCAAGATGGGCTGAGCAAAGGTGAAACCTGCTGCAACTGCATGGGCCGGGCCCAGCCAGAAATCCTGCTGAATATCCATCTCACTCTGCTCAGGAGCCCACAGTCTTTCACCTCACCTTATTATATATCATCGATGGAAATCTGCTCTTTTGCTGGAACCTAATGCACCTGAGGGAGGCCCTGTGCAGAGGGAGGGCCTGAACAGCAGACATTGGTGGGTACACTTACAGCTAGAAGCATCACAGTTTTAACTCTGCCAGTGCTGGTTTTACCAGTTTGTAATCCTTGTGGCCCTGCACAGGAGAGGACTGGCAGTACACCTTCCCCAGGCAGATGCACAATCATATTTACAAGCAGCCTGAGCCCCAGAGAGCTCACAGCCTGAGCCCTGCAGGCTGCATGCCCATTGCAAGCTCTGCCTTGTTTCCAGGGCAGGTTTGTGCTGGGTCCTTGTGACCTGGGGTGCATGCAGACGTGGGCTAGCAGTGACGGGGCTAGAGTCTTCACTCTCTCAGCCCCTGCTGCCCACTGTCCCTGGAAAGTGCTTTGATGGATCAGGGATGCTTTATTTATGGCACCCAGGAGCAGGGATAAGATAAGCCATCAAGTAGCTGCACCTCAGTCTTCCCCACTGCAGACCTGTAGTATTAGTTTTGCTACAGGTATTTTGAGAAGCTAATATCACCCTTGGTCAGGCTCATTGCTATTACTGCAATCCTTAATTGCTGGCTGCTTGCTAGCAAAAACATCTCTTTCCCTCTCCCTCATTCCTTTGGTATTAATCAGTGTGCGCTGTGCTGGCTGCTGGCACAGAGGCTCTCTCCTGTGACACTCGCAGCCTGGCTGGCAGATGGGGAGCACACAGCTTGCAGGGGCTGGGTGGAGCTGGGACCCACCCTGGGGATGCTCAGAGCCATGCCAGCACCACGTCTGGCATTACACTGGAGATCTTGGTGCTGTGCAGGCACAGGACCCAACAGAATGCCAGTTAGCAAAGGAAAGATGCTCTGGGTTTGTGCAGGATCAAGCTTATTAGGTGTGTGAACACAGCTATGCAAGAAATAATTTGGCTGTCAGCACTAAGAGAGAGAGTGACATTAATGTAGCTGCAACACTGTGTCCTGGGAGAATCGTACTAACTGCTGTTCGATGCAGCTCATGTTGCGTGCACACAGCTCAGATCATTTCCTCTTTCTTCTTCATTTCTTGTAATGCCAAAGGCAGCAGTGCGTGTCAAGCACTCTCTTTTAAGAGCAGATCTTCAGCACCTATTTCAATCATGTCTTAGATGGAGTCCAAAAACTCCTTAGTCAATGAGAGTTTTCAGCAACATTTCTTTCCAGAAGAGCAGTTGGTCTTTGCAGCAAGGCCCATTGAATCACATGTCACAGCCACACTGCTCCCTTATCTGCATGCTTGTGTACTGCAAGGGGTGAGCAGGTTCAAAATGCTTTCCGTGCTGAGGCCCTGATGTGTTGCAGATATTTGCGTTTACCATCACTGCCTCTTTTTCACCACTTCACAAAATAATGTAAAATCAGATCCCTCACTGGGAGCCAGCTTGCACTTTCCTGCCTGGAGAACTCCTGGAGGCTCAATGGGAGAGGTGCTGAACTCCTGCTCACTTCAGCAGAACTGGTGGGCAGATGGTGCCTCTCCCAACCTGAATTAGGGCATACCTCCATTTTAGATCACCCTTGAAAGCCCCCTTTACAGTAGGACCCAGCAGTGCTCCATCGTTCTTCACACCCGTGCTGGGATGGTTTGCTGTCTCTCCAGGAAGGATGGTGTCATTCACAACCTTCACAGCAGCAACTTCCCCAAAGCAGCTTGCACTGGTGGACCCCTGCTCACCAGGCAGCTCACCTCCACCCATAGGAATGCTGCTCCCAAAGGGCTCCATGGCTAATTTTAGCTATGCTCAAAGACTCGGATGCTTTGGGGACTGGAGATGAAGATGATATTTCGTACAATGTTAAGGAAAATCATTAATAAGGCTATACAAATTTATCTTTCCCCTGTGGTTACAGTAGCCAAGGGTCCAGTTGTACAGTTAATGAAGCTGTGGAGATAACGTTTTTCCTAAAGCGATGCTCAGAAGTCCTTTGTGGTGGTGTTTCATGACAAACTCGCTCGCAATGCAAGGGACTTACCCACAGGAAGAGGAGGACACAATGAGTTCCTTTCATGCAACTTTGGTGCTAAACGAAAGCATCTGCATGGGAAACACCTAGCAGCCCTGGGTCATGTGCATTGGCTTCACGCCTTTGGTTGAATCAGCGTGGAGTCATGGTCTAAGTTACGGGTAACATTTTACACACCAGGACACTAACCACAAGGTGCCCGAATCAGCATCCATTAACCTATGAGAAGCTGTATCCTTCCAGCCCCAAAACTTCCACCACAACAAAATTCTCTGGATCTATTTTGAAAATATCCCCTCCTGTGAGCTGACTTCTAATGCTGTTCACCTGGAGCAGCCAATTGATAGAGTCAGTGGATGTAGGAAATACGATCCACATGTGTGAAGTGAAGGAATGCCTCAAATTGCAACAGGCAGCTGAGCAGACCTGAGTGAAGGCTTTCAGCTGCAAGGCCAACTGAAAACCTGCCCCCAAACAAACCCAAGGAGTTTAATAGCTACTGCGGAGACTGCAATTGGATGCAAATTTTGGGGCTGGCTTTTCACTGATGAGACAGCGAGCCCCAGGTCAGATGTATGCCCAGTTCACGTGAGTTAGGAGAAGAGTGGGAGAGGAAATTATGTTATCACAATTGCAAAAGCTTGGGAGAAAAATTATTACAGGTGAGTGACAAAAACATCTGATGTTTCCAAAGACAAAGAAAAAATGAAATAAAGGCTTGTTTTCTAAGCCTCCTGAGTATTCTGTTTTAGTTCAGAAGTTCTCAATATTATTTTAATCATAGTTTTTTGGGTTTTTTTAACAATAATTGTTTCTAACTAAAGCAAAACAGAATATTTCCTTTGAAAATGGGGGAAAAATAGCTATTTTAAATTATCCCACTTTTTTATTAAATTAAACAGAGAGCCTGGTGAGATTGGCATTAATTCTCAGGACGTTGCAGTGCAGGTACGTTTGCATATTCTGCATACCTAAATGTTTGTGAAAAGTGTGCTAGGTGTTTTTTGTGCCATGTTGCTGCTGTGCTGTACTGACATACTCTTCTCCAGTTTGAGACAGTGTGTGGATACAGCTTTTTCCTCTTATCTCCTACCCTTCAGCACAGCTGTTTTTAGGAATGGGCTTCCCAGAGCACCCAATCTCAACAGACCACCTTGAATGCTACTTGGAAGGGGAAGGAAGCACTGAACTGCAAAATAACCTGAGTGGCTTCCTCATCCCACTTTGTCAAGAGTTCTCTGAAAAAGGAAATGAAGACTTATTGGTTCCTAACTTCACAAGTCCTTTGGAAACAGAAATGGCTTACAAAGGGAAGCAGGTACCTATGCATTTTGGAAGTCAGCCTCTTTTGCCAGGGCACAGGGAAGGAAACTAACTGGCTTGGTGCGTTATCACCAAGGGCAGAAGGTAATGCTGGCAGAAGTGCTGGCTGTGTGTGGCTGTCCACCTCTCTTACCCTGGGAGCAGATCCAAAAATCATACAGTGGGAAAAGCTTAATGCTTTTCATGTGAAAAATAAACACCCTAAGAAGAGGGCAGAGTCCCACAGGATATGCCAGCACCTCAATGCCAGGCATTTCAGCTTGCTGTTGCTGTAGGGTAAGCCTACGAGGATGGGAGAATGGGTAGGTCTTGGGCAGACAGGCAGTGTGGGACGTTTTGCTACAGCTCAGGAAATTTCCTGAGGCTGTTAGACAGGAGGTGCAGGTCAAGTGTGTTTAGAGGTGAGTGGGTGGTGTGAATCCCCCTCTTCTGAAGAGTTTTCCTCAGACGAAGCTTGGCACAGCCCATGCCAAGCTGAGGTAAGGTTTTGTTTGTTTTCTTGTTTGCTGGTGCAGGGCTTCTCAGAGAGGCTGCTACAAGAAGTCAGGCTGATGTTTTAACTCAAGTCCAGAAGCATCAGCCCTGACGCAGATTGGAGTGGAAAGTTCTCCTCTTAGAAAAATTGAAATAAGAGGGTGGTTTCGCTCTGTGTGCTGCTTGGGCCAGGCAGCTATCATTACTGACTTTCAGTCCTCGGTTCAACACATGCTTAGACCTCTAGCTCAGAAATTGCGTGTCCTTTTCCCATGCAGAGAGGAAAAAGACAGCTCAGGTCCTCCTGCACTGTGTGCATGGTGAGCAGCACAGCCCCTTGCTGGCAGCTGCTCAGTGTGAGCTGCCTCTTGTGCAACACCTGGGCAGTCCCAGGTGCAGACAAACAGGGTTGTGAAGCGCAGTGCTCACAGAACTCTTCCCTCCTTCCTTGTGAAACTCCCTCCTCCAAGCTACTGAAATCCTGGGATAATAATTAACTGAATTAAAACTTGCTCTGTAATCACAGCCATGTGCACTCTTCTGGGTGCGTTTGAGTTAGAAATGTTTGCATTTTAAGGCTCTTTCCATATGATGATCTTGCAGCACTTTGCATACATTCACTCATTTGTTTTCATGTTGTGCTTTGTGTTTTATTTTCGGTTGGAGGGATGACAAGCTGCTTTTCAGGGTGTCCTTTGAAAGACACACAGGAAAATTAATCTCATTACCTTAAACAGGGAATATAAAAACGATTTAAATTGAAGATTTGGGGGCCTATTCCTTCCGAGCAAGAACACTAATCCCCCAGGTTAAGCTCAATAAATGGGCAGGGCATCAGGAGGTGAGACCAGTGTGGAGACCAGTCTGCCTGGAAAGGTGGTGAGACCTCCATGGCCACAGGCAGTGGTGGACAAGTGTGACACAGTTTGACCACTGCTGGGAAAAGTGACAGCACCCATTGCAGCTGCTTGTGATGGCTCTAAAGCAGTAACATAGAAGGGATTGAGCAGAGAAAAACCCAGACTTCTGATCCAGACTGGAAAGTCCTGTTTGGAGAATTGGACAAGCACATGGCCTTGAGAAAAGCTGAGCACTAAAGTGAGGGGGAAGGAGGGAAGTCAGACCTCCAGGGAAGGGGTGGTTTTCTTTCAAGCTGTCTGGACTTTAGTTTCTTACACTAAAACCACGTTAAATGTAACAGCTTTTGGTTCTGATGTGTAGGCTTCAGAGAGCTGTAGCTGGCTCTTGGAGATGAGCAGCCTCAGTTCCTGTCCCAAATAAATAAATTAAAGCTGTGGAGTAAAGCCAGCTGCTGTTTTTTAAATGGATTAAGGATCTTGGTGTCCTCCCTGCCTTTTAGTGCACTGAGCCTTGCTGAGGCAGTCAGGCAGCAGGGCCCACTAGCTGCATGTGGGGCCAGTTTATTGCTAAACCTTGTGCCTTGGCCCTGTCTGGCCCAGTAGTGCTTCTGTGCTATGTCTGGTATGTTAAATACCGAAGAGTCAACAGGGAGCCACTTCCTAATGATGAAGGGCTGCAGGAAAAGAGCAAGAGTTAAACCCCACACTGTAGGCATTAAATCCTGCAGAGTAGAGTCAAGTCTGCAATGTAGGAGTTAAATCTTGAAGCTCGGGCCCCTCATGCTGTGAGCTGCCTAACAGATGGGCTGCCTGTCCTACCTCTCCTTGTTGAGGGTAGAGAGGCTGAGGTGAGACACCTGCACTTCCAAGTGAATTAAAGAGAGGGGTTCTGAATTTGCTGGGGGGTAAGAGAAGCTTGCAGGGAGCTAAAGTAGTAAGAGAAAGAGGAGGGTGTGGGAGGAAATAGAGTTCAGACCTGCGTGTGCAATATAAGTAAGTATGGGAATATCCCTGAGAGATTGTCAGAGATCTACAGAGCAAAGGGCATGGGATGGACACAAAAATGCTAGCTCATGCAGTACAGTGCATGAAAGTGGGTGAGTGAATGAGCTCACAGGGAAGCTGGCGCAGGAGAACAGGAGGGACCCAAGGGAAGGGCTCAGTCTGGAATGCAGGAAAAGGTGGATTGTATTGTTGCTTGGGAGCAGAAAAGAGGAGGACAAAGGTGCTGAAGAGGTGGGCTAATGGAGAGAACTGACCCTACTAATAACAGTAGGTGTGACTACATTAAGAAAAAATACCGACGGAATTCCCAAGGAATGGGAGAAATGTACTGCTGTCTGCTTGTCCTGGCTCTGAAGAACAGCAGGGATGAGGGACCCTGTGGTGGGAAGTCCCCAGCAGCTCCAGGGAAGCAATGTCCATGGTGTGAAGGCAGCAGAAGTTGCAGTCCCAGGAGGAAACAGAGTTGTGATACCACAGGATAAACCAGAAGGAGAATGTGCTATGAGGATCCGTCTGTAGTCAGGGGCATTTCAAAGGAAGTTATCTGATTGCTTCCTCACACCACTTGTAGGTGAACTGGGGTAATCCTGTCACAAGATGCTGCTGGTGTTGGAGGTGTGCAGCAACTTCAGAAGTTAACAAGTTCTGTACAATAAAACCTCACAAAGAACCATCTCACAGAAGGAGACCACCTTGATCTCTGGCAGTCTTTAAAGCACACGTTGCTGAAGTTAGGAGACTGTGCTCAGTATTGCTTGATAGTTGCTCTTTTTGTATGCTTTTCTGTAGTGCACGCTCCTGGCAGTTGCCAGAGTCAGGAAACTGAAACAAAACTGAATCGGACCCTGATCTGTATGGGGAATGGATGCTTTTGAACTCTTTAAAGATTGCTGAGCATCATAGTGCCCTATCAAGGCATTCAAGGTGCTGGAAGAAAGTCTTGGGCCAATGTGGAGAAGCATTGGTAGGAGGGAGCAGACAAGTGAGAGCAAGCTGAGTTGTTCTGCTAAAAGCAGCCATGGTGGCAGAATAAGAACCAAGTGATGCTGGCAGAATGAATGAATGCTTAAGGATCTTCCTTTCCTGTTCTCCCTAATGAGACGTGTCTACAAGAGTGTTAGAAGGAAGCAGAAGGTCATCAGCAAAACCAGTCTCAGAAGATCTTTCCAAATGCGTAGGTATGGAAAAGAGTGCAGATAAGTGGTGGCTAAGGGCATGTGTCAAAATTTGTTTTTTTTTGGAGGTGGAGGGTAACTTATAATGGATGATCTTCACTTCTGTGTTACAGCACAATTGAGTTCCATCATCAAGCGAAAAGGCAAAACACTGCACTAGCAATGTACCCTGTGGAGTGGCTGCAAATACAAAACATGCCCAAAGCTACTTTGTGAACAGACACATACTCTCACGTTACTCTCTGTCCTATTTGCTTTAACTGCATGTCCTGCATTTTCACTACTTTGTTACTTTTGCATGACCAATGAAGGCAAACAGTAGGATAACCAGTACCTTGACAATGATTTGGTTAGCTGCAGAACTTCCTTGTACAGCATTTGCTTCATTTATTAAGTCATTATAGAACTCTTATGATGTTATAACTGCACCTGCCTAAGGTATTGTTTGTCTAAATGTTGCACTGGGTGCCAGGGAACATACAACTGCCTCTGAACGTACTCAACCAGACCGATACTCCTGATAACTGCACTTTCCTCTCTCTCTCCAGCCTTTGAGTAAAAAATATTTGTATTCAGATGGTATCTGTTTAAATATTTGTATACCAGGTCTGGCCACATACCTCAGCACTTCCAGCACATTGGTATCTATAGGTGGTGAATGCTTCCAGAGGACCCTGACATAATTTCTAGCCCAGTGGGAAATTGTGATGTAGCTAGATGTTGGAATGTTTTCTATTTTCAGCTGTTGCAACATGGTGCTTAATCAGGAAGGGCTGAAATTTGTCTGGGATTCTTTGCTGTTGAAAACCCTGCAGTAGGTGGATAAAACCTCACCACTTCATCTGCAGATCAGATTTAGTGGGTGCTAATCTGGAGGAGTGCAGGGTGAGGCTCAAAGCCCCAGAAAAAAAGACTATTGTGCAGACCCAGTCCTGGAAAATGTGCAGGCCTGAACTTCAGGCATGGTCCTTTCTACAAGAAGGAAGTTCCAGTGTGTACACCTGGGCAATTCTAATGCTATAAGAGTGGAGAGGAAATACAAATGACTCAGGATTACAATTTCTGTACAATCACTTCCACAACAGCCTTTGGCTCCCATGCAAATTAAGAAGCACCCAGGCAGATGCAGTGCTCTTCCTCATACCTGTGCCCTTCGCACAGGTTGTATCAGAAATCCCTCATGGGAGAGGAAGTGGGTCTCCCTGTGCAACCTGGAGCCATCACCACCCACACTGGCTTTTGAGCCTGGCTGACTGCCAGCTGTGCAAAAGTCCCCTGGCCGGTGCTCCTAGCAGAGCTCTGTCCTGCGTCAGCAGCTCTGACGCACTCCACCCTGATCCCAAGGTTGTGGCACAGGTGAAACGCAGCCCGAAAGCTGGCTGTGGTCATGCCTCACTCAACTGAGCAATCACCTTATGTTCATCACATACTGTTCCAGTATCTGCAGCTAAAATTAGGCCTGCTTTGCACCACACTGCCAAAAGGCGATCAGATGCAGATGGGAGTTTAAGCAGAATTATTCCATCTGCATTCGTTCCTGGTGAAAACATAAATAAGTGAAATGTGTTAAGGGCACCTATTTCATAGCTGCAGGCTGGGCAGGGAGAGCTGCAGCTCCCACAGCAGGGAGAAGGGGAGGCCCCCACCCGCAGTTTGGGGAAAGGCAGCAGTGCTCCTTCCCAGGCATGCACTCCTTCCTGTGGAAATCCCCGCTGGAAAGTCTGAAGGTGTCCAAGTTCAAACCAGAGTCAGGCTGTGATAAATGAGAGGGAAGGCAGGCACAGAGCTGCTCTGCAAACGTCCCTGAGCAAGTCAAGACAAGAGTAACCAGGTTTCAAGCTGTGCTCTGCATCCTCGCTTCACCCCCAGACACCAGGAGCTGGAAAAAAAGGTGCCCCTAAAGCGGGCACCTCTCATTGAAGATAGACTCAGTCTCTCCATAGCATGTACAATCTGGCACTTGTGTAGCAGAAGGGGAATCCCAGCCCCCTACCCGCTGCAACAACCAGCACAGGAAGCTACACCTACGAGTGCTGCTAAAATTAGCTGCACCAGAAGTGCTGGGAGCTGAAAGCTGCTTACATGTCCTACTCTTCCTGTAGTGAACTACCCAAAACCCCCCAGCCTCTGACCTCACGTTTACTACATCAGCTATTTCTGAAAGAGCTGACCATGTGGATCCCATGCAGCTCATGATGAGATGGACAATGAACTGTTTCACAGGCTGGGTACAGAAATTTGCCTTTTTTAATAAATACACATCTCACAGGTACCAAAATAATTATAAACAAAAATGTACAGTATTTACATTCTATACAGTTGCTAAAAAGTGTAGCAACTATGACACACATGGTGTGAAACACACAGTTTCCAATGCCCACAGTTAACATTATTGCTACCTTCCTCCCAGCAGCCAGGTCACCTCTCCCATGGTCGGACTTCTTCACCTGCTGCACCTCAACCCTGAGCAGCCAGGGTCAGGGAGCAGGGCACTGCAGTGCCTTAACCTAATGCCAACCTCACAGTCTTCAAGCAGATGGGACGTTTGTGCAAGCCTGTCTTGCCATCGAGGGGACGAGCACTCCTCACAGCACTTAGTGTCACAAGGCAGCTCTCAAATGCATTTCTAACAGTACATTGGACGTGCAGTCTGTTATCCTCATGTGGGAGAGAAAATTAGATAATGTAGCTCTTTATCAGGTGGTGTGCATGTTCACTGATCTCTTAACGATGTTACAGATCCCATTCCTGTTACATAAGCACAGGTCAGAACATGGAACCTGTTAGCATGACGTGCTCCTGGCTGGGCAGTGTAGTATCTCAGTACTTTTTTCTCCGAGTGTAGACTTTCTTTTTAAATGAAGAAAGTCAGCCTTTTTTTCCTATACATATGTACACAGTCACTTTTCACAGAAACCTCTGCTTTAAAATGTCAGCTGTCTTCCTCCAATACAGCAGTCATCATACATAAGCTGGAAGAAAAACAAAGTGCTGTTAATGCCAAACTCCTACTAGGAGTATCCCATCTACTCTGGGACAGCAGCCAAACTCCACATGCCCTAACTCCAGTACATCTGCAACTTATACACTGAAATGTTTACATTTGCTATTTAACAGCATTAAGACCATCACAAAAACGAATGCTGAGAAGTCCAAATCCACTAATTAACTATTTTATCTCATGAAGTTCTGTAGGTATAAGCTCAGAGAAATCACACAGTGTGAAGCTAC